ACCACCAAACTTCTACGTCCTTACGCAAGCTTTGTACAATTACATTATATAACAATCGTCGTTTATGGTTAAACTCGCGGTCACTTGAAATAGACCGTTGTGCGTCAATGGGTTGTTGGGAACCTGTTGAAACTCGCTTCATATTTTTCTTTCTACGAGCTAGTGCTTTCTTCCTGTAGTTTATCCTTATATACAATCTTTCTTTCATATATTACCACCCCTGAATTTACTACTTTTATGAATGCGGTGTTCAGCTTGCTGTGCTAATAAGGTATGGCTTGGTCCCATGTTGTAGTTGACTGACTAAATATCCCGGTAAAAGTTTAACTCTTAGGAATTCAGATGAGGAAAGTGTTATCTCTAAAAGCACGTCAATGACAAAGTTAAAAAAGAATGCAGAGATTGAACAGCCCTGACGAACACTTGAGTTAATCAATCCTGATAACGGTTCGCCATAAGCTCTCACTCGACCTGTTGTGTCTGAGTAGAGAACCTTTACAGGGTTAATGTACTTCTTTGGCACTCCTTTCAGTGACAAACACTGCCATAAAACCTCACGATCAACAGAGTCAAATGCCGCCATAAGGTCGAAACATACTACTACTGTGGGACGTCTGGATGTGTGTCTATGTCCTAGGACCTGACGTAGTGTGAATAACTGGTTTATACCGCCACATCCAGGTCGGAAACCAGACTAGTTTTCTCTAGTCTGCTCCTCACGGGCTTTATTTAGACGTCGAAGTATTGTTAAAGCTAATATTTTAGACACTATATTGGTCAAAATGATTCCTCTGTGGTTGTCACAAGAGGACTTTTGTCCTTTCTTGCAGACTGGCACAATCAGTGACTGAGACCAGTCAGATGTGATTATATATATATATATAGTTTCACGCGAAGATTTTAGGGTATCCGCTAGTGTAATACAAGAAGTACAGTCAGTCAGCTACAACGTAAGACCAGGCACATATATGCATCGGTCCAAGTTGCCATTAGTCAGTTAACTGGAGGATGTCTGATTGTTTTCATGAAGTGAACGATCAGTTATTTTCATTGTGTGCTGCAAATGATTTGTTTTCGAACTGAATTTTGAAGACAGTATGTTATGTTTTTTCCTTACGTCAATAACGAATTCTCACACCACTACTATGGTATATATATGATTGGCGGATGCACATTTTTCTGTCCCTAACGCCTCAACCAGAATACAAGAAAGTCAACCTATGCACCTTGAATTGTTCCAGACTTAAAGACTCACATTGTTGTATACGTCATTTATATGACCACAACTTACCATAAATGAGAAATCTCGGCCTGTACAAAACTGAGTCATTTGTAGTATAACTTAAATGCAGGCTTATAATTCGAAAAATCTAACAATACCACAAACCACTTATTTAATGAAATATCAGTCAGTCAGCTACAACATAAGACCAGGCACATATATGCATCGGTCCAAGTTGCCATACCTCATTAACACAACAAGGTGAATACCGGATTCATAAAAGTAGTTAATTCAGAGGTGGCAATATATAAAAGAAAGATTGTATATAAGGATATAGTACAGGAAGAAAGAATTAGTTCGTAGAAAGAAAGATATGAAGTGATTTTAATCACTTAGTTTAAGGGAAAACAGAGAGTGTATACACTGACGTCATTGTGATAAATTCTGAGCTATGTCACCAAGAGTCTCCAACCATTGGTTGCAATAGTCACGTGCACCCCAACCAAGTAGTCTGCATCTCCCTACATGACTCAGCCTAGAATTTAGTGACTTCAAACACTGATGCCACGTTTTGGTTTGGCCGCCCCTAACTTTCTTCCAACCATCTCCAACACCGTATAGCATTACACGTCGTGGTAATCGGTGTTCAGGCATACGTAACACGTGGCCCAACCATCTCAGTCGATGAAGATTCACAACCTCATCAACTGATTTACCATCATTCCCTAATACCCTGCGTCTAATCTCACTATTACTTACCCGGTGATCCCAGCAGACGCCAGCAATATTTCTAAGGCATCTGTGGTCAAATACTAGTAACTTACGAGTGTCTTCTACTCTTAATGGCCAGGTTTCGCTGCCGTAAATTAAAACAGAACGCACTGCCGCGCAGTATACTCGTCCCTCAATTGATAGACGGATACCTCGCCTTCGCTACAAGTGACGTAAGTTGGCAAAAGCCAAGCGAGCTTTTCGAATCCGTGCTGAGATTTCGTCAGATACCAACCCATTAGGGGTGATCAAACTTCCAAGATAAGTGAAATTGTCAACGCATTCGACTACTTCACTCCCTATCCTTAGTTCAGGTGTTGACAAAGGCCAGTCCTGGAGCAACAAATTGCATTTAGAGGGAGAAAAGCGAATCTCAAACATTCTGGCATTGTTACTTAGTTCTACCAAAAGACTGCATTTTATCAGCGTCTTCACCAAACAGGACAATGTCATCTGCATATTCTAAGTCGATAAGTACAAGGGTAACCAACAAGAATATAGTGACGAAAATGAAAGCAATCAAGGGGCTTTGTAGTGTCTTATTTTAGGTTTTACATAAGCATCTTAACTTCAGTTAGGTTTTCTTACGAAATAGCATTGAGAACCGAATCCCTATAATAGATTGCTATTAATTATTATTGCGACTCAACTTGTTTTAATGAAAGGCAGATACAGTAAATCGTGAAGATTACTTAGGATTTTGTATAATGGATAAACTCACCGGCTTGTATTATATTTACTGTCAGCTTTTGCTGACAGTAAATGAGAGAAATTGATCTGAGGGAAATTAACATATTCTGCATCTTGACTGTGACAATTACGTCTAGGAAATGTACAAAACAAAGCATTTGCCAAAAGACTGGCTATCTGGAGTTGACTTAGAGTAAGTGCGCATTCTTTTCGGCATGATAGTAAAGGAATAGGCTAAAGTGAAAAAGTAGAAATGATAATCAAACAACGTTCAAATAAATAGTGAGAACCACAGACAAAAAAAAATAAAAGTATGAGAATACATGTGCGCATCTATATGTGACTTTTGAGGTGTGAAATTTTGACTAGATTTTTTTTCTGACCGTGTAGAAGGGAAATAAAGGTCGATGAAACCTGACGTATGAAATGTTAAATAGTCCTATCTGCAAAACTGGCTATCCAAACTGAATGGCAAATTAGAAAACTAAGGACCAAATATACCCGATAAGAAAAATAAAAAACATTTTCAAAGAACTAAAATACCATATCTTGTCATTTATTTAAACACAAATATTGGTACAAGGAGGCACCAAATATATGTGCGCCACACAGCATTCGATTTATGTAAGGGCTGGGATATTACCAGGTGCCCAAACCGAAACAGGTTGTTTTCTTAGATGTCCACATTTCAAACCTTTGAACCAAAGGTCTAATCTACGAGACGGTGGAGCAACGTTAGGAGATGCAGTCCCATGGTAGCCGGTGACCAACAATAGGTTCATACGTCATTTGTTCCCTGAAAACCATGGAGTTCATGTGCACCATTGGTTTAGAATTACGGTTTTCCATCTCCCCTAGGTGTACGCGAACCCGGTTAAAGCGCCAGACTTTTGTCTTTTCGGTTTTATAAACAACATCCCCGCCACGAGAAGACAGCGAGTAAGACTACAGTGACAGTGGCTGTACATGCGTGGCCGTGTGAGCATTTTGATAGATGGAGCTGACCCTCTTCACCCTAGGCCATACCAGGGCACTTGGGAGCAAAACTGAGAGTCAGCCGCATCCCGTCTTTCCCCAACTTGGAGGTGCTAATAGATTTGAAGGCCAACAAACAACAAGCACATGACCTACCCTTGGGACTCCTAACCGAAAAATTACCTGAGTACTTTAAATGTTAACGGTTAGCAGTGACTTTACACTAAGGAATACGTGAAGTATTTGGCTCAATGATTAAAATGGAATTTGCCAAGTCTTAAATTGAATGCAAAAATATGAGAATAGTTCAAAACTTTTTAACATGAAGATAATGCGATACTAGAAATCAGTGTTTTATTTTACTATGGTAAGTGGGGGACCTTGAACCGGAGCATTATCACACTAAACTCCACTTTAGATATTTTACCAAATAAAGTCCTAAAACATGTCAAGACCAGAGATTTCAGTTGAACGACTAACAACTAATAGTCATTATTGCAGAAATAAAACACATCCAACCTCTGACCAAGATTAAATCTTTCTAAGGATTTTTCTACAACATACCAATCATTCTAGTACCTTCTTTTCAGAAAGAAAACTAGCAAAGACATTTTAATTTTCAAGAGTAAGTTATAAACCATTAAAAAACAGCTAATTACTTTTGTAACAAAAATAGGCAAATTTAGTGCTAACGAACAAATTCCGGAAAGAGTGTTACCGAAGAAATTATCGTTTCCACCATCGGGGATCAGGTTCATCATACATAATTGTTCTAATGTTTTAAAATTCCAGTAGGATTTGAAACGATAGTTGTAGGAGAGAATAGCTTCCTAGAATAAATTAAGAAGAATGTGTGCCATACAAATAGCAAATCTGATTACATGAATGACAACATTGTTAAAATTAGAATGAACTAAGTTTTTTACCTTCAACTCATCAGAAGATTTTATCTTATTTCTCAATGCCTTTTCAATCACAACCCATCTAGAAATAAGGCTATTAGCACCACCCTAAAACATAAGCCCACTGAACAATCTTACTTCATAAACCGGATAAACGCTTTCAGGAGAACATGGCATACGAACAAATAATCCGTTCCACTTATCCTGATAGTCATCAGGATATGGTATAGGTGGCTTTACAGGGTTACTGTCACACTAAAATGTTATCAAGTTCAAAAAACATGACTTACACGAAAGAACACCTTGTGTGTTCGTGAAGGTTGTAGAGGAGGTAAACATGGTGATGATAAAGTCAACTCATCTAAAGGATCTCCCTAGGATAAGTGGTAAAAAACAAATTTCAAGAATTTACTTTGAAATACTGGACACATTTTGACGACTCAATCATTCAAAGAACCTTTGATTTTGTAGGAATTGTGACAGGATATCTACGACTTGAACAAGTATCACTTACGCTGATGTATTGTGTGCCAAAGTTGTGTAGAGAAACGTGTGGAAATCTGAACAGCAAGAGCGAAATTAAGGACATACGATGAGCTTACAACCGATAGCCAAGTACTCCTTTGTTTCCCATCCACTTCTTCGGAAGAGCTAGATTGTTTCAATGTATTTTCTTCCCGTTCAATGGTCGCCAAGTCTATAATTTATGGGAGACCAAATGAGATTTTGGATAGCAAACCCAAGACTTCAACACAGAAATAATTTATCTACATAGCTAAATCATATAGCTGATGTCAGTTTACGATGACAACCCTAATTTATAACCATAACATTAACGGTTAATCCTAATCTTACTTCTCCCATTGATTCATAACTATGCTTAGACTCTTTTAAGTAGTCATAGTTTCTCAACTCTATTTTAATGTCGCTCAAAGTGTGGTGAGCAACTTAGTCAGTTGACTTGCCGTTGAAGTAAATACCCCGATGAGATGCGTATAAATTGTCAGCTCGATTACCTTCTAATTATTTGCAGTTGTTCAGTTAAAGATATTGATCCAACCAACTAAGCAATCAATAAGCTTCAATCAAAGGTCGTTTCTATCTTACCGTGTTGCTAATGTTACAAAGATTGTCCATAACTTATAGTCCCGCCGCATTGAGAATAATCGAGATGGCAACATACACAAATATCCGAAGACAATATGACATAACGGATTATCGCTACCTTGTAAACCCATTTTGGAATTGAGTCTAATTAAAAGGACAGTGATATTTTTCCTCGATGAGTAAATTCCTTTTTTACCGTTTATTATGTATCAAGACTACTGTTTTCACTTTAGTTGAATTTATTTCAGTTAAAGTATTCGATTAGAGTATCGTTTCTGTTTCTAAATTAGTTTGTCGTCGGTACTTTTGAGTACTTTGTTTTCTAATGTATCTGTTAGTACTTTTTATTCTAACGATCTACAGTTTTCCACTTTTTTTGGTCATAGATCATTTTTGTCTGAGTATTATTGTATCCAGTTCTTTTTTTAAAAAAAGGACCCATGTTTAATGACTGGACAGTGCAAAAAAACAGCTGCCAACGTCCGGGCTGTCGTTATCGCGTTGAAAGCGGCATGCAGTGCGATTAGTGCAAAGGCTGGTACCACGAAGTTTGCACGAATTTAACGCCTGCGGCTTTCAAACGGTTCAGTAAAAACGGTTGCGTATGGCTTTGTCAACAGTGCTGTTCGGATGCGAACAGCTTGCTAACCGGGGCCTTCTCACTGGTAAATGCTGATGCAAAAGTGTTTTGGCAAGCGTGGTCGGGACACAACGAACAGTACTCGCTCTGTCGACACACAAATTGGTATGAAGCAAACTCAGGTGATTTCGAAAACAGGTGACTCACACTGACCAAAAGAGGAAAAACAGTCTTCAAAGAGGTCTGTCTTAACCAAAAACTCAAGAAAAGAAGTTTCTTCTGTCCCCCGTCTTCTAAATGGTATCCAGCAGGAAACGCATAAAAGCCGCAATCGCAAGGCTCGATCAGTTTCCAGCGGGAAACATAACCTGACCTCCCGAATCGTCGACAACCCTTCGGAATCCCACAGTATGTTTGACGCAACTGTGGTTGCTTCTCATAGCAACGTTGACGAATGGGTACAGGTTGTAAGGAAGAAACAACATAACGATATAAAAGGGAATCCTGTCCCATAAAAGTAGTCGAGAAATCGAAGGATGATCAAAGTGACAGATCAGTTATTTTTCATAGAATCAAGGAGAGTGAAAGCTCTGAACCAAAAACTCGTTTTGAGCATGACATTGTGCTGATAAAACAGCTACTTAATCAACTCATGCCTCAAAATATCCCCGGAGTCACCTTGCTAAAGGTGTACAGACTAGGTAGTCTAGCGAACTTGAAGCCTAATCAATCCAGACTGCTTAAAGTAGTATTCAAATCTTCGAATGAACGCGACTTAATTTTACAGAATAGACATAAATTAAAGGGTTCAGGAGTTTTTATCTGTAAGGACTTGCCGTTGGAAGACCGCATAAAAAGACGGGAATCCGAAAAAGAACTACAACTGAGGTTAGACGCCGGCGAAAATGACATAAAAATTTCAAATTTTCGGGTTGTAAGGCTTAGACAGAGAATGATGCCGAATCCACTTATACAGGCTTCGGATCTCTTACACTGAAGCCTACTCAATAAGCGATCGGAACTAGGTGTACAGATTGACTCTACAAAGCCAGATATAATCGCAGTCACGGAAACCTGGCTGACATAGTCCATAGATAGTATGGAACTTGATTTCGAGGGTTTTACGTTAGCAAGGGCCGACAGAATACAAAAGTGTAAAGGAGGGGGAGTAGTTCTATTCATTAGGAATGCTATCCCATTTGCCATTATCGACAATGTATCCCATGAAAGTGGGACGTGTGAATTAGTTAGTTGCCGCTTGAAATGCAAGGGACAAGAGCTGCTGATTGGTTTGATTTATCGCAGTCCGAGCTTTGAGGTAAATAAGGTCCTGCTAAGCAGTCCAAATACTTGGTCACAAAGTGGTCGATGTCTAATCCTAGGGGACTTTAATGCACCTACGGTAGACTGTGAAGATATGCGAACTGAGTCGTCAGAAAATTCCTTCGAGTAGGAACTAGTTGATGCGGTTATCACATGTGCCCTAGTGCAACATGTGAAAGAAGCGACTAGGTACGACCCGGACACTGAATCATCCTTACTAGATCTTATATTGACTCACTATGAGGATGACGTTGCGAACCTCCATTACATGCCACCCCTAGGTAAAAGTGATCACGCAGTTTTAACTTTCGACTTCCATGCAGCTGTCAATCACGAGCACGTGTTAGCTGAATCCAGACCTAACTTCTGGAAAGCAAACATACCAGATATCATGCACTCAGTATCGTTAGTAGATTGGACAATAGACCCAGAGTCCTCAGTTGAAACGGCCTGGGACGCATTTCGAAATTTATATTTAAAAGTAAACCTCACATCCTTTGGACAATACCAAGGGGACCGAGAAACCCTCCACCATGTTCATTAGGGAGGTCCGCATCGTTCTCCGTAAGAGAAGAAAAATATGGGAGAGATTTAGGTTACTGGGGACTGATGAGACGAAATCTCAGTATCGAAAAGCTCGGAATACCTGTGCCTCGACCCTCCGTAAGTTTAGAAAGTTGTACGAAGACAATTTTTTAAGGAATCCATAGAATGTCCTAAAAGCTTGTATTCCTATATAAACCAAAGGACAAAAAGAAGAGGAAATATTCCTGTACTATGAGGAGACAGTACTGTCTCATCATTAGTGGAGAACGACTTTGGTAAGGATCAAGTGTTCTCGAACTACTTTAGCAATGTATGTATCATAGAGGCACCCCGTCAACGCATACAAATCCCTTCACATATACGCTGGATAGCGTGACCGTTAAAGAACTCGATGTCTTTGGTCTGTTAAATAAGCTTGACATAGGTAAATTCACGGGGCCAGATGAATTGCATCCTAGGCTACTGAATGAATTATCTAGCTCCGTTGCGAATCCTTTAAGTATATATCTATCCGTAACGCAGGGTCGTTTACCAAAAGACTGGAAGAACGCCATAGTAAGTCCTGTCTTCAAAACAGGTACGAAACACAAACCTGAGAATTACCGACCTGTTAGCCTAACTAGTGTGGTTATTAAAATCTTAGAAAAGACTATTCGGAAGGAGTTGTTTAAGTACCTCGATGAAAACCGGATCCTTTCAGAGAAGCAGCACAGTTTCAGAATAGGTTATTCTTGTCTCACCAACTTATTAGTCGTTCGTGAAAGCTGGTGCGCTCTTAAAGGCCAACAGTTACCTGTAGACGTAGCTTACATTGATTTCAGCAAAGCTTTCGACAAAGTTCCGCACAACCGGCTGTTATATAAGCTAAGAAATTTCGGAATTAGAGGCAATCTATTGGTGTGGATAAAAGACTTCCTAGTTGGGCGCCAACAAAGAGTACGAGTGAACTCAAAGTTATCTAGTTGGGAAATTGTGCCTAGTGGAGTACCCCAGGGTACAGTTTTGGGACGTGCTATTCCTCTTGTATGTAAATGACCTTCCTCGTCTCCAATCATCATCGGTCTTGTTATATGCTGACGATGTCAACATATGGAGAACGATACGATGTAAGGGTGATAGCTTAGAACTTCAAAATGACCTGAAATTATCTGGATGGTCTCAAACCTGGCAGTTGCCGATAAATACTTACAAGTGTGTTGTGATGCATACAGGTCATCAAGGCACAGACAAACACGATGAATAACACTAAGCTACCTGTCGTCCAGACACATAATGACTTAGGAGTCATCGTTAGCCAAAACTTAAAGACTACTGCACACTGCCGTGCAATAGCCGCCAAAGGTTTTAGAACCTTATGGTCAATACGTAGGGCTTTTAGTCATGTCGACGCTAAAACGTTTTTGACTTTGTATACAGTGTTCGTGTGTCCTAAACTTGAGTACTGCATACAAGCGGCTAGCCTCTGCTTAAAAAAGACAGTGAGCTTTTGGAAAAGGTTCAGAGAAAAGCAACTAAGCTGATTCATGGAATAGAGAAGCTTCCGTATGATGCTCGACTGGCCAAGCTAAACCTATTCCCATTGTCATATCGTAGAACTAGAGGTGACTTGATTAGTTTTCAAATTGCTTGGTGATAAATCAGCACTTGATATGCTCTCATTTTTTTGTCTTCCAAAACAGAGAATTTACGAGGATACTCCAAAAAGGTTCACAAGCCCAGAACAAATTACTTGTCAGCTGATTATCGACTTTCCCATCGAATCATCAACGAGTGGAATTCATTACCTCAGCACGTGTTTGAGGCTCCATTCTTCGACTCTTTCAAAAGAAAGTTAGATCAACTGAGAGACCACTATTGCCAGGACTAACACAGGCCATCAAGCCTCCTGACTTTTCCAAACTGAAACTGCTTCTGGGAAAGGCTTGTAAGGCTGCTGCTGCGAAAGGCTATAGGGTATTATGGTCAATTCGTAGGTCTTTCCAGTATTTCGATGATGAAATGTTTAGATTACTATACCCGATTTATGTGCGACCACATTTAGAATACGGGATTCAAGCAGCGTGTCCTTGTTTCAAATATGAAGCAGATATGCTAGAAAGAGTCAAACGACGAGCTACTAAGATGGTACAAGGTCTATCTGGCCTATCTTATGAAGACAGACTGAGACACCTTAACTTATTTCCGTTATCTTACCGTAGAATAAGGGGTGATCTAATATTGGCCTATCGTATACTGAACGATGACCTTGGTATTAACATGTCTTATCTTTTGCTCCCGTCTAGAACCGATCATTTGAGAGGACATTCGAAGAAAGTTCAAAAACTGAGATCAAACCGTTTACGTCTGGAGTTTCGTTTCTCGCACCGAGTAGTGAATTACTGGAATTCTCTACCGGAACACGTAATATCAGCACCATCTGTTAACATATTCAAAACGAGATTAGACCTCCACAGTATTACAAACTGCAAGGATTAATATAGGTCGACAGACCTCCTATCCTTATTACTGAAGACTAAGTCTCGTGTCTTTGACCACACACTCCTGACTCCATAGCACTATGCGCAAACAGGAGACACCGTCAAATGTCCTTATGGACGAGAACTGGGATGCATCCAAGGTGGCATGTCAATGCCAACACTGCACTTGGGTATGGCTATGAACGACTTCCCACACGATGACTTTAATCCATCACCACAATTAATGTGTACAGCCCACCTCAATAATCGCGACAAATATTACAACCCCCGTGAAATAAACAACCACGAAAGACGAAAACAACTATAAACACATACGAAGTGTGCAACATATATGTTAAAAAGCTTGGAAACAAACACTTAAACTAACAAACTGAAGACACGGATAAACTCCACTCTCGTTCGCAATTTCGACCTTGAACCTGTCAACCAACCAAAATGAGGCGGGAATTATCATTCAGGGCGTGCTTCGTTCTCTGTTGTTTTCGGTGACTTATATAAGAAAATGTGAAGTTTTCTACGACAAAAGGGCTTGAGATATAATCAAACTATGTTGCTAAGAGTGATATTTAAATCTCTCAATAAGAAAGATCTAACACTACAGAGGCAGATTTCGCTGACTTTGGACCTTATAAAAAGACAAGAAGCTGAAAAGTTATTAAAACTAAGATTATATGCTGACGATAAGGATACTAGGATTATAACTTTTCTGGTGATGAGACCGAGACAGTGCATGATGACGAAGCCACTTAATGTGTAGCGATAAGTCATTTAAATGGTCTTCAGATCTGTTACGCAAATACCTGTAGTTTACTGAACAACCTATTGGATCTAGGTTTACAGACAGACTCTTCCAAGTCGGACATAATTGTTGTTACAGAAACTTGGCTAACTCAACCTGTAGACGGTAGGAAATTCAACTTTGAAATTTTCACATTGCTAACAGCCTAAAGAAGCGTAAACGAGGAGGAGTAGATCTATTCATTAGAAAAACCATCCCATTTACCGTTATTGGTGACATGTCCCATAAAAGTGCGAATTAGTTATTTGCGGTTTGAAATACAAAGAACAAGAGCTGCGGATTGGTTTGGTCTGCCACAGTCCAAACTTTAAGAAGAGTGAAGTCTTCTCAGACGGTTTCAACACTTGATCATCATGTGGTCAGTGTTTGACCTTAGGAAACTTTAACGCACCTACGGTGGACTGTCAACATCTGAAAACTGAATCTCATATTAAACCATTATGAGTATGATGTCACAAACCTCGATTGTATATCACTTAAAATTGAGTGACCTTGCAGTTTTAGCTCTTGATTTCCATATCATTGTCGTTAACAGTGAGTCAGCCCAACCCATACCAAAAATTTGAAGGGTAAACATATACGGCGTTCTCAATAGTCTGGGCAATATAATCAGAATCACCCTTTAGGAGGGCTCAAAATGTATTCGGAAATTTGCACATGGAATTTACTGCTACGCATATTCCTTCGACCACACCAACGAGTCCTATAAACTCCCCACCGTTGTTCATTAAGGAGGTTTACACTATTTTCCGCGAGAGAAAACGAATGTAAAAGAGATTTAAGTTACAGAGTACCGTTGAGACAAGACCTCAATATTGGGAAGCTCAGAATACTTGTGCCTCGACCCTCCTTAAATTCAGAGAATTTTGTGAAGTAAAGCTTATTAAGCAGGGGTCTACCGAATGCTCTAAACGCTTATACTCATAGATAAACCGAAGGACTAGGAGAAGAGGCAGCATTCCAGCATTATGGAGAAACAGTACTACATCATTAGTATAGGATGATTATGGTTATATCAGGTATCCCCAAACTAATTTAGCGATGCATACACCGGAAAGATGTCCTCCCCTTCGGTTCATGATGTAGCGGTAAATAAATCCCCAAACTAAATAGCACTGTGAGTTTTTGACATTGGATGCTGACCATATGTTTTAGTGAACTCATCTAGCTGAAGGTGCTCGGGCATGTATCCGCACCAGATCACGTGCGGTAGCGCTGTGCTCAACATCTATCGCAATCGCTAGCCAGGTTAGATCAGAGAATTCGGATATATTGGTAATCGCCAAATACACTCTTCCAATCTCCTCGACTCTGTCTTTTGATTTCTCTCGGTGGGAACAAATTATATTAGGTGACGCTGGTAAAAGTGTTGTCAAACACTGAATACCTGTATCATCCTCATTGGTGAGTCCGACGTGATTTGATACTTCTAATTGCAACTGTGAGTCTGTTCCTTTTGGGGATTTTTATATATCATTGCCTTATTTTTTATTTTTTAAACATTGTGATTCTTTTTCGTGTTTTTTTGGATATATATATTTTCCCCTCGTTCATTATCGTACTTCAGATTTCATCATCCAAAGTACTCAAGCTTAAGACTTTTTCCCCGCCTTTCGTTTCAACTGATGCTTTTCTGGTCCGACAATATTGAAGCCTGGTTTCGCTACGCAGAAGCCGACTTCTCCGAGCACGGCGTGAACGACACACGTGCACAATTCCTCGCAGTAGTCAAGGCACAACCGCGCGAATTCAACAGGTACGTAACACCTAGTATGTTTACTAGTGATGTTTCCGAACTTTAAGAAATTTTGAAACGTTCGATTCTTAAACGAGAAGACCTAACCGATCGACAAAGGTTAGATCAACTCTTCAATAACATCGACCTGCAACACGCTTCTGCGACGGATATGTTGCAAAGAATGAGATAGTTTATAGGCCTAAGAACGTTTGATGATGGCCTATTTAATCAACTTTTATTGTCTAAACTTCCTCAACAGGTGCAAACTGTGCTTGTCTCGTTCCACAACAACGCCTTAGACGAGCTGGCTGCATCTGCTTATCGTATTTTAAAAATTACGAAACCTTCTACTACCGAGGTATTTTCAGTCAAAGAAAATCCTCACACGACTCAGAATGACATAACCGAGTTATGTCATACACTCACGCGTTATCTTAATCTTCGTAACGACCGTAATCGCTCGCACAGCCCACGTAGAAGCATTTTACGTAAGCGATCTGTCTCTAGACCACGAGAGACGGATAACCCCGACTGGTGCTGGTATCATAATCAGTATGGAAAGTCTTCCAGAAGTTGAAGTCAACACTGCAATTTTCCTAACTCAAAATCGATTGACACGAAAAACAACTCGGGAAACTTCCAAGCCGGCACGCGTTAACGGCAACCGTAGCCGGCGAAAATAGTCGTCTGTTGTACGTCACAGATGTTACAACGAGAGTTCGCTACCTCGTCGACCTGACGCAGAAGTTAGCGTTCTTCCACCAAATCTTAACCACCGGCTTCACGAATCGGCTCTAAACTTACAGGCGGCAAACGGAAAACCTATCGCTACGTATGACAAAAGGTAAGTTTACCTTAACGTGGGTTTACGCAAACCCATTCACTCGATCTTCGCTTTTGCAGATGTTTCTATGTCAATCATTGGTATGGACCTTCTACAACACCATAATTTAATCATCGATACGCGCAAATGGAGGCTTGTAGACGGAAAGACTAAATTATCCGTTTGCGTAACTTCTTTTTCTGGTTGCGACTTATCCCCAGTCACAATTAAGCATACGATAGACCAACTTTATCAACCACTACTCGATAAGTATCCTGGCATTCATCAAACGCAATCGAAATTACCGTGTGTAAACATCAGTGTTACACATCACATCACGACTACAGGACCACCCGTATTCTCTAAAGCACGACGATTAGTTCCTGAAAAGCTGAGGTTAGCAAAAAACGAATTCGATCACATGATAGACTTAGGAAGCGTACGACTGTCAAATATCCCTTATGCATCTTTGTTGCACATGGTCCCTAAAAAGGACAGCAACGATTGGCGTCCAACTGGCGACTATCGGCGATTGAATGCAAAAACCATTCCCGATCGTTACCCGTTGCCTCATATGCACGGTTTGACAGCTACCTTGAAAAGTACAACTGTTTTTTCGAAAATCGACTTGGTTAAAGCGTAAAACCAAATTCCCATGGCCACTGACGGCATACCGAAAACAGCTATCATTACTCCCTTCGGACTCTATGAATTTTTGCGAATGCGTTTCGGTCTAAGAAACTCTGCGCAAACATTCTAAAGATTCATAAATGACGTTTTTCGAGGTCTCAGCTTCGTACATGCGTATGCTGATGACTGTTTGATCGCAAGTCTGGACAGAGAATCACATCTCAAGCATCTGGATCTTGTTTTCGAGCGACTACAAAAACATGGCATTACTGTAAACGTTCAGAAATGCCAATTCGGAACCGACTCGTTAAACTTCGTAGGAGACACTGTAGATGCTCAAGGTATTCGACCCCTTAGGACCAAAGTGGTGGCAATTCTGGATTACCCAGAACCGACCACGATTAGGCAACTACGAACGTTTAACGGCCTTGTAAGTTTCTGAGGACGATTCGTACTTAAATGCGCTTTACTGATGAAACCTCTAACCGACCAACTTCACGGAAATGCGAAATCCATTAATTTGGACGACAACGCACGAACAGCATTCTCTACAATTAAGGAACTCATCGCTAAAGCAACAATGCTTGCACATCAGGACACCCAAGCACCCATTAGTATCGCAGTAGACGCATCCGACTCGGCAATCGGAGGAGTCTTACAACAATGGGTTAACAACTCCTGGCAACAATTGGCATTCTTGTCTAGGCGGTTGCTAGACACCGAATCGAGGTACAGCACATTCGGTAGGAAACTCCTAGATATGTATTGCGCTGTGCGGCATTTTCAACACTATATCGAAGGTCGTGAATTCACTCTTTTCACTGACCATAAACCACTCACTTTCTCTCTAAGCTCTACTTCAGACAAGTACTCTCCCCGTGAGTCTCGGCAACTGGACTACATTTCGCAGTTTACTTCAGACATTCAACACATCTCTGGAGCAAACAATGTAATTGCAGGCGCCTTATCTCGCATAACTTCCTCGAACAGTTTCCAAGGAATCGACCTTCTGAAACTCGCCGAGCTCCAAAAAGAAGACACTGATCTTCAGCACGAGTTATCGTCTACTACTCCCATGCTATGCATCAAACAGATGAGAACAGGTAAGGAAACCTCACTTTGTGACACTTCTACAGGTAGGGATCGCCCAATCGTGCCGAAACATTATCGACGCAACGTCTTCAATACGTTGCACAAACTTTCTCATCCAGGTGTTCATGCAACCATCAAGCTTGTAGCAGAACGGTTTTGCTGGCCTGGCATAAATAAGGACGTGAGAGAATGGGCAAGCTCCTGTGTAAGCTGCCAAATATCTAAGGTCATCAGACACAATAAATATCCCTTAGGTTCATTTAAAACTCCCGATGTTCGTTTCGACCATGTTCATCTGGATTTGGTAGGACCTTTACCAGATTCAAATGGATACTCTTACCTCTCAACTTGCGTAGACCGTTTCACTTGATGACCAGAAGCAGTACCTATCAAGGACATGACTGCTGAAACAGTGGCCCGCGTCTTTGCCGAACGATGGGTAGCAAATTTCGGTTGCCCTTCAACTATCACTACAGCCCTCGGACGTCAGTTCGAATCTGAACTTTTCCGTCGTCTGACCACACTTTTAGGAACCACTCGCTTTCGAACGGCTTCTAATCACCCACAAGCAAACGGGTTGGTAGAACGTTCTCACCGACAACTAAAAGCCTCACTATCAGCTGCACACGTTTCACAGTGGACCGACGCTCTTCCACTCGTCTTACTAGGTGTCCGCAATGCAGTGAAGGCTGACATTGGATACACTGCGGCTCAACTCGTTTATGGAACAACACTTCTACTTCCAGGAGAATTCGCGGATCCTTCATCCTCTTCAATGAGCTTGGATCTAACCTTTCACACGAACAGGCTTGCAAACGCAATGCGTTCAGTCAAACCTGTTTCCACTCGACCAAAATCCACCGATATTTTCGTTCAACCTGACTTACGACATAGTATACACGTTTTCGTTCGTCGAGACGCATATCGACGACCATT